GGGAGGTTTGTTCATAAATACTCCCTTCTAGAATCGAAGGTTTCCATTTGAATTGGCACAAAGTCTTAGCGAAAGTTGAAGAAGTGAATTGTTTGTGTAACTTTTCCTTGTTCCCTTCAAAAGTCATTATCATGAATCTTCGTATATCATGCCATACTTAAGGAAGCATGGTTTTGGAAAGAGTCTATTTAATGAAAGAGCGCTTTATTTCTGTACATCACAAAAAGGAAAAAAATGGATCTTCAAAGATGGGTTGTTAAATTAGAAGTAAACATGAAGATCAGGTTTATCCATATACTATATCTAGAATACATTTGCATAGGTTTTTAACACTTGGTTATAAGCGATTAATTTGCCTTCTGGGTAACAGCTCAAATGTGGGTGACACCATCTTGATGAAATGAAACGGCTATCAGTTAACATGAAAGTTATAAAGAATGGAAAACTGAAAGGTCCAGCATATTCCTTAAACAATGGATCTTGTATTTTTTTCCAATATGCCCTAGTAGAATAAAAGTTGCTGGTGTCCCATTGGGAATTGAATTACCAATGATAACCAAAGCTGTTGCACACAAGTCATACAGTCAGACAGAAATTATGTGAAGGACCAATGCTTTGAAAATATGGTTTTGCAGTTAATAATGCATTGTTATTCTTATGGCATGCCTACGTGTGCAAACTTATTGTGACTTGGAAGGTACTGTTGTATTGCTCACTACTTCTTTATTTATACTTGGCCAAAAGTTGATGGCTTATGTTAAATCACTCTGGCAAATGTAACCACAGTGTCCTTTTGCTATTGAAAACAATTTGCTGCTGCACTCCTTTGTAAAGTTTGCTTTAAGCTGCAGATTGATACGGATCATAGTTTACCAAAATTCCAGAAACTTGAAATCTTTCTTGATGCCTGGATATTATCTAGAGAAATTCATAATAATGTATCTAGTATTACGCATATTCAAACTTTGATTTTCTGATCCATGGTGGTGTAATGGACCTGCTTTGTGAAGTTTTCCATCCTGGAAATGCTCCAGGACCGTAGCATATATCTGAACTAGTTCCAATGTTCCTCAAGAGACAATAGTTCGGTTTATAATATGAAGCTTTATGTCTAGGCCAACCCAAAGGATTAGTTGGTCAGATTTCACTGTTTAGCACTTCTATGGACTGTTGAGTTAAATGCAAGCTTTCAATCTGTTTCACCGTGTTTGCTTAGGACTAATATCAGTTACTAATGCTTATCAATCATTATAGATGCCACAAACTCGTGTAGTTCATTTTCAAGGCATTGCTACCATTCTTTACTTTGTGAACTTCTGAGTTTTAACTGCTGATTATATTTTGCTCCTGTGTTTTTTTCTTGCTTAGGCCCTATTTGGTACACATTATTTTTTTCATTCACATTCTTCTACTCATCTTCAACCACACATTGTTCAATAAAATAATATTTTCCATCACATCAATAACTTTTCCTTCATTTTTAACCTCACATTCTCCATCAATCTACTATTTAATAATACATTTTTTCAAAAGAATGTGTCCCAAACACACTTTTAATGTGTTACTTTATTATTCAGGAACATTCTTTTTATGGTCTTTTGAGTCTGGAAAACTAGAAGTGCCTTTTAATTTATTTCTCAAAAAGTTAGGTCTTTTTAACTTCTCATTCAGATATCAGTTAGTTTTGTGGATTCTATGACAACTTTTATATTCCATATTACTAAAATACGCCAAACTTCTACAGATTTTTGGTTCAGTTTTTGGAGTTGCTGCTGGATTTGTTGTGGGCAAGGAAGGACCTATGGTGCACACTGGTGCCTGCATAGCAAACTTACTTGGACAGGGAGGCTCTCGCAAGTATCATTTAACTTGGAAATGGCTCAGATTCTTCAAAAATGATCGAGACCGCCGGGATCTGATTACTTGTGGAGCTGCTGCTGGTGTGGCTGCTGCTTTCCGTGCACCGGTTGGTGGTGTTCTTTTTGCTCTTGAAGAAGCAGCCTCTTGGTATCTCTCTCTCTCCCTCCCTCCTTCCTTGATATTATTATTTTTAATATAGAATTCGAGAGGCATCTGAACTTTACAATGTTGAAATTCTTCGAAAAACTATGAAACTACTCTAATTATTCTCTCTCTCGCTCTCTCTTCCCATCCCTTTCAAATCTGTGCTTGTCCTTTTTTTGCCAACATTTGTTCTGCTCAATTTTATTTCAATATACTCTATTGCTTTGTTAAAGAATTTATGCACATCGTGGTTTTACGCCTTGATGTATGTTATTTTTATTTTAGAATTCGAGAAGCATCTGAACTTTGCTGTTGAAAAATATCTAAATACTATGAAACTATAACAATTATTCAAACAATCTAAATGCAGACGTGGTTTTTTCTGTAGCTCATTTTGTTACATTAGCAGGTTGTAGCTTGAGTGGATTCCTCCATGTGCTGTCAGTTTTAGGAACTTATTTTTTCCTCTGTGGTATTAGGTGGCGGAGTGCTCTTCTTTGGAGGACTTTCTTCACAACCGCTGTTGCAGCTATGGTATTGAGATCTCTCGTACAATTTTGTAAGAGTGGGAAATGTGGGCTATTTGGACAAGGAGGTCTGATCATGTTTGATGTGAATTCAGCAATCCCTTCTTACAACACTCATGATCTACTTGCAATTATGTTAATTGGGGTTCTTGGAGGGCTTTTGGGAAGCCTTTACAATTATCTTGTGGATAAGGTCCTTAGGGCATACAGCATCATTAATGAGTATGCCTATTGAACCCTGCCCTTGTGCACTAATGTTATATATCCATACGAATATATATTATTTAATGGAAAATATCTGTGGTTGAACAAATTATGATTTAACCTATGCTTTTGTTAAAAGTATCTTCTTAGTTTTGAAATGGAAATTATTTGCCCGATATAATCTGCTCTTCTTCCTTATGGAATAAAATGTTAACCTTAAATTTTAATGATGTTCACTTCAACCACCTGGAGACTAATCTGGTGTCAGTTTCCTCTGAATCCCATTTTTAATTTTTGTTCATAATCATGGGAAAGATGCATGTTTTGCTTAACGTTTTCAAAAATGCACTTAGATTTCTTATAATCATTTAGTTAAATTATGTTATCCTATGCTGATAATTTGCAATTACTTGTAGGAGAGGTCCTGCTTTCAAGATCCTGCTTGTCATCATCGTTTCTCTTCTAACTTCTTGTTGCGCCTACGCCCTTCCATGGTTTGCAGCATGCACTCCCTGCCCCACTGGCTTAGACGTGCAGTGCCCCACAATAGGGCGCTCTGGCAACTACAAAAATTTCCAATGTGAGGAAGGGCACTACAATGATTTTGCCTCCCTTTTCCTTAACACCAATGATGATGCCATCCGTAATTTATTTAGCTCAAGAAACAAAAACGAATTTCATATCTCCACTCTATTTATTTTCTTTGCTGCTATATACTTCCTTGGTGTTATTACTTATGGTATCGCCATACCTTCTGGACTCTTTATTCCTGTCATTCTTGCTGGAGCCTCGTACGGTCGCCTTCTTGGAAGACTCTTGGGATCTTTTGCCAGTCTTGATGTTGGTCTCTTTGCCCTTCTTGGAGCTGCTTCCTTTCTTGGTGGGACCATGAGAATGACAGTCTCTCTCTGCGTAATACTCCTGGAACTTACTAATGATCTATTGATGCTCCCATTAATGATGCTTGTTCTTCTTATTTCAAAAACTGTAGCAGACAGTTTCAACAAGGGTGTATATGACCAAATAGTGAAGATGAAGGGTTTGCCGTACATGGAAGCCCATGCTGAACCGTACATGAGGCAGCTTGTCGCTGGAGATGTTTGCTCTGGTCCCTTGATTACATTTTCCGGTGTTGAGAAAGTAGGTAATATATTGCATGCTCTGAGGATGACCGGGCATAATGGTTTTCCTGTGATCGATGAGCCACCATTCACTGATGCACCAGAATTGTGTGGCTTGGTTTTGAGGTCTCACCTGCTAGTTTTGCTCGATGCAAAAAAGTTCACAAAGAACCGGGTCTTGACGAGATCTGAACATCTAAGGATGTTTCGTGCCTTTGATTTTGCGAAGGCAGGGTCTGGAAAGGGACTTAAGGTTGAAGATTTGGACATCAATGAGGAGGAAATGGAGAAGTATGTTGATCTCCATCCAATTACTAATACATCTCCATACACAGTAGTAGAGACTATGTCTCTAGCCAAAGCTGCTGTCCTCTTCCGGGAACTTGGTCTCAGACACTTGTGTGTTGTCCCAAAGACCCCAGGGGTAAGAAAATTTGTTGTTTTCTAATATTTACTTTGATTTGAAAATGTCAACATCTCACCATAATTTTTTGCTTTTCTTTGAGAGCTGAAGGAAATTGATAGATGTAATCATGTGTTGGTGTAATGATTTGCAGAGGCCTCCAATTGTTGGAATCTTGACTCGACACGACTTTATGCCAGAGCATGTTCTGGGACTCCACCCAGATATCCATCCCCACAAGTAAGCCGCACAATGAACCATATATGCCCTACGTCTAGGTTGACACTAAACATTTTCTTGAAGACAAGCGGCCCAAAGAAGGGCGTCGTGGTTTTGCCGGACTACGAATTCTTTCTCAACTGGCTTGCAAGGTTTGACGGCTCCATTCCCGACATTCATCTATATAGTTTCCCATTTATGAAGGACTTAGATTTATTCTACATTGGACATGTAGAAAATAATGTAATATTTATTATTTCGAATCTCTAGTTACGAAATAGACATTTCAATTAACGCCAGTGATGACGTTGCATAAGAGCAGAATGTCGATGATGACCACTAACTATTATATCCTGGACTAAAAATTTACATTGACAAACCAGTCAACCCTCAGAGGTGATTAGCTTCTAAAAGGTATACATGACAACAATTCACAATTGTTAAACAGCAAGAAGGATCATTATTTAATATGCAGAAACCTCCTCATGTCAATAAATCTGCAACGTTAATGCCTGCATAATATCAAACAGTGAGAGACGCACCATTGTCCGCAGATGTAAGATTGAGAATCATTGTAGCCGCCTTTGGAGCCCTGTTAAAAATGAGGAAACTTAAATTAGGAAAGCAGAACCCACACCCCTCAGCAACAAATGAAATTCTCAACCTGAAAGCCTAGATTTTGATAAAATAGAAATTTAAGAAAAATCTCAAACCGACATGGGGTCAACACCATCATTTCAAAAAGATCATAGAAAAATAATTTGTTTGTGAAGGGATACTTGAAAAATCCCTTGTGTAATGATAAAAGAAAAAGTACACGAATTTTCTTAAATTTGTTTTCTAATATACCTTAAATGCTAGAGAAGGCAAACACAACATCATTATTGGTACATGCTATGTATTTAGTAACTTATTGTTAAAGAAAAATATCTTCCAACTAAAAGATTTGTTTGCTGCAGAATTTTCAAAACAACTACTCAAAGATCAGTTTTCATGTCAAATTTACGCCTAAATCAATGAACCGAGCAATTTCAGATCCTTAGATTTGTATAATAGGATTAATGTTGACAATTTTACAACTAAATACGCAACTCCAGAAGAAGTTTTAATTTTCTAAATCGTACTAAAAGTGTGTTTGAGCCACATTATTTTGGAAAAATATATTTTGGAATAGTAAATTAATGGAAAATGTGTGGTTGAAAAAGAAGGAAAAGTTATTGATGTGATTGAAAATATTATTTCATTGAAGAATGTGTAGTTGAAAATGAAAATTTTAATGTGGTTCAAACAGGGGCTAAAGCGGTCTACAAATACACAAGGTACAGAGAGAGAGAGAGAGAGAGGAAATTTTTACCATGAATCGGGAGTTTGATACAGAGCAGCTGAACTGCCAAAGCATGACTGAAGCATTTCAGTGTTTATCACCCCAGGATTAAGCGAAACCATTGCCATTCCAGGTGGCAACTCCTTCGCCGCTGCCCTTGTCAAACCTTCCACTGCCCATTTTGAAGCACAATATGGTGCTACCTGTAAGTTTTAATAAAGTTCCATTAAGTAATTAACATGGCCAAGAGGTAAGGAACCAAATGCTCAGGACTTCAACAATTAAGATTTGAAACTGTAAATATAGGTCCATTAGTCATATCAATTACAAGTTGAGGAGAGAGCAATAGAATATAAACTACACCACATCGAGAGTATGTTATTAGTTAGGGCTTAGGGGTAGGCAAAAATATAACCAAAAACCAGCTGAACTGGCCTGGACGTTGTTGTTTAGATAAGTAAGAAACAAAGATTATATTTTGACTATCTCAAACTAGGAACTGGACGTTTTGGTTCGGTTTTGGGTCAACAGTGAACAACATAACTAAACAGGTTACTCAGCCCCTGTTTGTCTCCCATTCTTCCGAAACTCTTCTTTTCACGTTCCTATTTTCATCCACACATTCACAAAATAAAATAAAATACACAGGAAGTGTATTATCAGCCACATTATTTTGAAAGAATGTATTTTGGAATAATAGATTGATGGAAAATGTGTGGTTGAAAAAGAAGGAAAAGTTATTGATGTGATTGAAAATATAATTTCATTGAAGAATGTGTGGTTGAAAATGAAAATTTTAATGTGGCTCAAACGGGGGCTAAAGCGGTCTACAAATACACAAGGTACACAGAGAGAGAGAGGAAATTTTTACCATGAATCGGGAGTTTGATACAGAGCAGCTGAACTGCCAAAGCATGACTGAAGCATTTCAGTGTTTATTACCCCAGGATTAAGCGCAACCATTGCCATTCCAGGTGGCAACTCCTTCGCCGCTGCCCTTGTCAAACCCTCCACTGCCCATTTTGAAGCACAATATGGTGCTACCTGTAAGTTTTAATAAAGTTCCATTAAGTAATTAACATGGCCAAGAGGTCAGGAACCAAATGCTCAGGACTTCAACAATTAAGATTTGGAACTGTAAATATAGGTCCATTAGTCATATCAATTACAAGTTGACGAGAGAACAATAGAATATAAACTACACCACATCGAGAGTATGTCATTAGTTAGGGCTTAGGGGTAGGCAAAAATATAACCAAAAACCAGATGAACTGGCCTGGATGTTGTTGTTTAGATAAGTAAGAAACAAAGATTATATTTTGACCGTCTCAAACTAGGAACTGGACGTTTTGGTTCGGTTTTGGGTCAACAGTGAACAACATAACTAAACAGGTTACTCAGCCCCTGTTTGTCTCCCATTCTTCTGAAACTCTTCTTTTCACGTTCCTATTTTCATCCACACATTCACAAAATAAAATATTCTACATGTAAACCCAAAATTTTTGCCTTTTTTTAACCACACAGTCTCCAAAAATTCACCATTCAAAACAATGTTTTTCCAAAAAAATGGCCACCACTTCTTTTCACGTACCTATTTTTATCCACACATTCACAAAATAAAATATTCTACATGTAAACCCAAAATTTTTGCCTACTTTTTAACCACACAGTCTCCAAAAAATCACTATTCAAAACAATGTTTTTCCAAAAAAAGGACACCAAACAGGGGCTCAATTTTTTTCCTTCCGAGTTTTTCCTACATTTAAATATATGTAATTTTTCTAAATGGTAGATAGATTTAATTACAATGCACCCATCCACACCTAATCTAGCCCATTTCTAAATCACCAAACCACCCAACTCTCCCATTCAGTTTGGTTCAGTTCCCTTCTGTTACATAACCTGACTGCTCATTTGTGAAAGAACCCAAGTTTAACCGGTTCTTATAATAACTAGACTGTGTCCACCCTAGTATTAGTTATCAACTGATAGTGTTAGTGATAACAAGATCCCCCGCTAAAAAACACTCGTATCTAATATATCAAGCAGTAAAAAATTTATGTGCAAGAACATATTGTTTCATAAGATTAGAATATACCGTGCAAGATATAAAATTTTGAGAAAGATAAACATAACATTCCAAATTACCTGGGCAGCAGCGGATCTTCCCCATCCAGATGACATGTTAACAATTATCCCTTGCTTCTTCTCGGCCATAATGGGAATGAAGTGACGCAACATATTTGCTGTCCCCTTGATATTAGTATCAATGACAGCATCAAATTCATCCATTGGAACCTCCCATATTCTATTATTCCTATTTATTGTGCCAGCATTGTTCACTGTAAAAGATTCATGTGTTAGATCTAGTATCAATTAGTAAAATGACAAGACAAGTGAGGTCTAGAATTCAATTTAGATAAATGCAAATCTGTTCCAGCACTTGCAAAGGAAAAGGGAGAAAGGAACCATTCCACCCTTCATATAGAGAGGTATATGCCTTCGACATAGTAACTTCGTATATGATATAAATAAAGAAATGTGCAGGTGAAAAAATAACATCAATGAAATGTCAGATTCAGCTTGTGTATTATCAAAAGTAGCATAATCAAACACTAAGAAGAAGAAAATTAAAAACTAGAATGGTATTCAAAGAAATGGAGGCAAGCAGCACAAAATTATTGTAATCTCAGTTTGCAGAGGAAGAGTAGTGTAGGACAACTAAAAAATACTATCTTAAATCTTGGGTAAGAAGTAATCCACTCTTAAATCATTTTGCTTCTCTCCTCTGACTGAAACTGGACATTTTTCTCTTTCATTGCATCATTGCAAGAAGAATACACCTTCTGACCTTCAGAAGGAAATGTTTGAAAAGCCTGTTGAGCATTAAATTTGATTCTGACCTTCAAGAGGAAAAGGAGCAAAACTCATATAAGATTAATGGCGTACTAACAATATAATGACTTTCCATCAATCGGTTATATCAATTCATGTGACTGGCGACTATGATTTTATTTTCTTCGATAATGCCAACCTTGAAAATTACTTAGGTTGTACCTGGGACGTAACTTCACACAATATGATGTTAATCCACAGCAAAATACCTCCTCGGATGATATTGTTCCCAGATACTAGCATCTCTAAATTGTGCTACACACTACCATCATTGTAGTAAAGTAGCACGAGATAACCTTATAACATCCAATTTCTTTTAGGAAAATTTGGCAAACTAAACTCATCCACTAACAAACTATAGGCTACATTCAACTGCCCATAGCTCACAGAATTGTGCCACTAAAATATCTTCAGTCATCTCAATAACAACCAATTATATGTACAATTGTAAATTAAATGTACCTATAATATCGGGAAAAGCCTTCTTTTCCACCACTGAGCGTGCCAGCTCTTCAACGCTGCTGTTAGACCTCTATAAAGTTAACCCCGTGCGTCAGAGACAGATATATGAACACTGTAATCGATTAAACGCAAACATAAACGAATTTCGAGAAATGCAAAACTAATTACCACGTCGACGTTCATAACAAGGTGTTCATTGATATTCTTGCTGCTATCGGAAGAAATAGAGGAGGCAGAGGATAGCTCCGATTGGAGAGCGGAGAGCTTCTCTTGAGAACGGGAGCAGCCGATTACAGTGTGGCCGCGCTTGGCCAATTCCAATGCTAGGGCTTTGCCGAGACCTCTGCTCACCCCTGTTATCAGCACCGTTTTCTGAGCTCCCGCCGCAGTCGCCGCCGCTCCTACGATGTTCATGGCTTTTGCCGTGGGTAATGGTGGTGTAGTCATGTCGCTGCACTTAACCTTTTTCTGTGACTGTAACTGCTTTGAGTAGTTGAAGCGGCCACGGTGCATGTTTGGAGTTTAAAAGTACTTATTTAAAATAATTATTTTTTTCTTAAAAAACTATTCTTCGTAACACCCAATATCCCGATATCAGAACTATATTAATATGTAATGTTTAAAATGACGAATTGAACGGGGTAAATGACTGATCTTGCATTTGCATCGCCATTAAACCCAACAATCGACCTGCTACAATCACAAGACCTAATTACGAGACAATGATCTTATCTCTTCGCTCGATTCTATGTCTCATTGCATCATCGAATATCCATTGCTTTTCACCGCGTGTTAGACCGCCAATGGGTACAATACACATTATGCTTGCCACCTATGATTGCGTGATACATCAATGCTTGTGTTACTTCAACCCTGCATGTGATGTGGTGCACCTTCATCATCAGCTTTATTTAATGCCTCGTCACGCGGTGACTCACACATGATAATTTTTTAACTCGCGAAATGTGTCTTTGCCTTGCGCCTTCACCGTTGAGCGCGAAATACCTTAGTCCTTTTGTTGACGCCTTTTAAATTTTTAAAAAAAGTTTCTCCCCTTCTCCCGCAACACGTATGAATACTCCATATCCCAACTTTGCCAATGACTCTTTTTCTTTGACAAAAATCTCTAGCGATCTTTTAAGCACATTTCGATAAATCTTTCTGTTCAAATCTCCGGTATCTCTGACCTACGCATCATTTCTTGGCTCTTTTTTCACTGCAAGAAAACCATTTTCCCATGTCTACAAGTTAGTCTATGAATTTCTTCTTTTTCCATTGCTATTTTGTTGAACACATTTAAGGTCGTATCAGATAAGCATTTATTATGGTTAGATGTAAATTAATCAATCTGATGCGAGAGATAATGGAAGAAACCTCCTATAAAATCTGAGTTGTTGACCATTCAGTGGGTCGAGCACTTGTAATGACTCCAAACTCGTCAAAACGCTAAAATTGTTTATTTTATTCTCCGACCACGTATATTGAGCCCCTTAAGCCACATGAATGGCTCCCTCTCGACCACGACGGCGAGGTCGCTATTTATCTTGATAGATTGTAAAATATTAATCATCGTAATAAAATAATATAGAATTCTTTTTATTGTTTCTTTTGAACTGAACCAAATGCACTTTTCTTATTCTTTCCTTTCTTAAACTTGTCGTTAGAGGGACTCGCCAAATAAGCACTTTATGTTTTCTCTTACTTTTTTTTTGCACATAATATGAAATGAGCTCATTAAGAGTCCACTCCACATTTGACAGTTGTAACTGACCTTAAAATAATTGAATTGTGTAGGAAAAAAAATCAAAACCAAATGCACGAGCAAGTTATCAGGCAGCTCAAAGTTTAATGCCTTTAATTTTGAAGATGAGACATCTCCATGTTGTACTTATGTTTTCTTCAACCTTATACTTAAGTAAAACTAAGTTTGTCATTATAGCCTTTTGCAAAGCATTTTCCAATCTCTTTATGAAACTTATTATCAGTAGTTACCCTATTAGACACAGGGCCCTTAATGTCACTGGAATTTTACGTTTCATATTCATAAGACTCATACAATTTGAACGACCCTGCTTATCAAAGTTCTGTATTTATCAGTGGAACTTTTTATCCATAAGACTTCTCAAAACTCGTTACTAATTCTCACGCCGGAGGTACAACGGGGGAGAAAGCCCCAACCTCATTTTGCAGGTAGCAACCACCAACTAGAGCAACCGGACCACCGTATTCATCAAGGCGAACACGGAGGTCTACCTTGCTACTATTTCAAAATCCAACAATCGACCTGCTACAATCACGAGACCTAATCACGAGACAATGATCTTATCTCTTCGCTCGATTCTATGTCTCATTGCATCATCGAATATCCATTGCTTTTCACCACGTGTTAGACGGCCAATGGGTACAATACACGTTATGCTTACCACCTATGATTGCGTGATACATCAATGCTTGTGTTACTTCAGCCCTGCATGTGGTGCACCTTCATCATCGGCTTTATTTAATGCCTCGTCACGCGGTAACTCACACGTGATAATTTTTTAACTCGCGAAGTGTGTCTTTGCCTTGCGCGAAATATCTTAATATTTTTGTTGACGCCTTTTAAATTTTTAAAAAGTTTCCCCCCTTCTCCCGCAACACACATGAATACTCCCATAACCCAACTTTCCCAATGACTCTTTTCCTTTGACAAAAATCTCTAGTGATGTTTTAAGCATAAATCTTTCTGTTCAAATCTTCCGTATCTCTGACCTATACGCATCATTTCTTGGCTCTTTTTTCACTGCAAGAAAACCATTTTCCCACGTCCATAAGTTAGTCTATGAATTTCTTCTTTTTTTCACTTCTATTTTGTTGAATGCATTTAAGGTCGTATTAGATAAGCATTTATTATGGTTAGATGTAAATTAATCAATCTGATGCGAGAGATAATGGAAGAAACCTCCTATAATATCTGAGTTGTTGACCATTCAGTGGGTCGAGTACTTGTAATGACTCCAAACTCGTCAAAACCCTAAAATTGTTTATTTTATTCTCCGACCACGTATATTGAGCCCCTTAAGCCACACGAATGGCTCCCTCTCGACCACGAGGGCGAGGTCACTATTTATCTTGATAGATTGTAAAATATTAAACATCGTAATAAAATAATATAGAATTCTTTTTATTGTTTCTTTTGAACTGAACCAAATGCACTTTTCTTATTCTTTCCTTTCTTAAACTTGTCGTTAGAGGGACTCGCCAAATAAGCACTTTATGTTTTCTCTTACTTTTTTTTGCACATAATATGAAATGAGTTCATTAAGAGTCCACTCCACATTTGACAGTTGTAACTGACCTTAAAATAATTGAATTGTGTAGGAAAAGAAATCAAAACCAAATGCACGAGCAAGTTATCAGGCAGCTCAAAGTTTAATGCCTTTAATTTTGAAGATGAGACGTCTCCATGTTGTACTTATGTTTTCTTCAACCTTATACTTAAGTAAAACTAAGTTTGTCATTATAGCCTTTTGCAAAGCATTTTCCAATCTCTTTATGAAACTTGTTATCAGTAGTTACCCTATTAGACACAGGGCCCTTAATGTTACTGGAATTTTACGTTTCATATTCATAAGACTCATACAATTTGAACGACCCTGCTTATCAAAGTTCTGTATTCATCAGTGGAACTTTTTATCCATAAGTGTAGTAGGTTGTTCAATCCTTAAAGCAAAATCTAGATTCATGCAGTCAAGAACAATATTAATATTCTCTCTCCAATCCTTCAAATTTGGTTCCGCTAAGTACATAAATGGAATTGATGTTGGTAGATATTACAGAAGTAGATGGATTCTCTGAATAGAGAACTTGAATCTAAACAACATGTTCATATGTGAATTTGTATTAGTCATTGTACATAAATATCAACTTGTAAATTGTACTCTTGGTGTAATAATCAAATATTGACAATAAACTATGTCAAACAACAAATTTATATTTGGACCGACTTATTGTTCACATAAAAAAAAAAAAGAATTTTACAATTGTCACATATTTATTATCGCAAGTATGTATGTAATTTGGCTAAATATTTACATTCCTTTCTGCTGGTGAATATCTTCATGAATTACAAACACACAATCATCCTAATATTTTAAATAAATCAATTTATATAAGAGATGTTACTTTGGTAACATGTTGTTTCACTATTTTGAAAAATTAGAAGAAAACTTTAGTACTAAGATTTAAATTTGATTGCCAAAAGAAAAAAAATTTATGTACGGTAAGACAGCTCTACCTTGGTAGTGCCCAGGTAGCCACTGGGCGCTGCGATGCCCAATTATGGGCGCGACAGCGATGTGGCACTGCTACTATTAATGGCTCTATTGTGTTGCCCTGCAATGCTGTAAGCTCGAAAATTCTCAAAAAATCCAAAATTTTGAATGCGGGGCTAAAATTCACATGTTAAAAATTGAGAAATCCAAAGTATTAATATCAACCATAAAATTTTCTTTGAATCTCAATGGTTTAACATGGAGTTTGCTTTGATACCACTTGTTAGATTTTATTAAAATTTTAAATCTCAAGAACTTAAAAATTCTCTTCCATATTGCTAAGATTGTTTTGTCAAATTACAAAGAGAATTATTAAGTGTGAAACATACCTTGATTAATTGGGAATGATTCTTTAATATCAGATCTTGATTCTGAATCTTGAATTTAGTGTTTTTATTATAACTTTTAACCTTGATTGCTTGTTGTTGAATTGTTGTGTGTTATTGATCTTCTTCTTCAATATGTTTTTTATTAACATTCTTGTATTCGTGAGATGACACATAAAATGAAAATAACATATAAATTGTGGACCATAACTTTATATCTATCCATAAGTATTTTGGCCTATTCTGAAATACAATCCCAAAGGAATTCAGGCTCTACATATATTTAGACCCATACTTTAATTAGACACCCAAAGTTCAATAACTCTAATCCTTCACTATATCACTTTGAATGAGTTTAACCTTATAAGATAGCATTTAATACACACATAATTATTTATATATATAGGCCCATACGACAAATTAAAATTCCTTTTTGATACTTCAATGTGCAGATGATAGCCAACAGAATTCCATTGTTTGACTCTTTGTTTGCTTTCACAGTCCAGGTATTTAACTTTTGCTCTTAGATAAAAGTTCACCATAGTCGAGTGGGTCATGGATAACTACTAGTTATGAGTTATCTGTAGAAAGTGATACAGTGCTGCCTGGAAGCTGAAATAAAAGGGAAGAATCTTACATCAATAACAATACATTGGGATGTATTGTTTGCTATCTGACTTGAAGCAATGTAAAAAGCAGCCAAGAATATTAAACACACATCCAAACACTCCTCTAGCCCTTTCCTTGGTCGATTCATGAACAGTAGGAATGCTATTAGAATCCCACATTGGCTTGTGATATTTACAAGATCCACTTAATAAGGTGGGGGCAATCCTCCCATAACAAGCCGATTTTGTTAGGTTGAGTTAGACCT